GAAGGAGAACCTGCAGACCCGTCAGCAGCCAGAACCACCTTCAAGCTGCTGGTCAGGGTGGTGGAGGACCTTAGGTGAGACATTTGGACCCAACCAAAGGTTTCAGAACCCTGGGCCAGAACTGGCTGATAAACCCAGATCCTCTTGGTTCTGTGGTATCTGAGCCCGGTCCAGCATCTGGATGTTTAGAAAGTTCTGGTGTTGATTTGGGGTCTGATGTTTCTGCAGCGGCGTGGAGCTGGAGCCCGATTTGCTGCAGCTGCTGATGGACCTGGTGTTCAGCCTTCTGATTGGTGGAGAGCTGGGGATGGCCCACCAGCTGCACTTCAGCATCCTGGCCAAGATGGAGAAGAGATGGAAGCTGATTGGCTCCCCTCGGTCGCTCCGCCCCCTTGCTGCAAAGGGCGTGGCTGCCAGGTAGCCCCCCCCCCACGGTCAAAGGTCGGAGGAGCGTTCTGTGATGTGATTGGCTGCTTTCTCACCTGATTGTCTTCTGCTGACAGACCAGGAACTCTGCTGGACTTCAGGAGTCAGGATCTGGCAGAACAGCTGACTCTGCTGGACTCTGACCTGTTCTGCAAGATTGAGGTGCAGATCAGTCTGTGTTCACTTGTGGTTCCGCCTCACCTGTCCGCCTCACCTGTCTGTCTCACCTTTGCAGCTCCCAGAGGTCCTGCTGTGGTCCAAAGAGCAGAATGAGGAGAGGAGTCCACACCTGACAGAGTTCACCCAGCACTTCAACAACGTTTCCTTCTGGTCCGTCAGAACCTCATTCTCACCTGGAAATCCTGGACCTCTCTGGTTCCCTCTCTGGTTCCTACTTACCTCTCTGGTTCCCTCTATGGTTGATGCTTATCTTTTTGGTTCCCTCTCTGGTTCCTACTTACCTCTCTGGTTCCCTCTATGGTTCCTACTTACCTCTCTGGTTCCCTCTATGGTTGATGCTTATCTTTTTGGTTTCCTCTCTGGTTCCGTCTGCGGTTCCTGCTTATCATGCTGGTTCCCTGTCTGGTTCCCTCTATGGTTCCTGCTAGTCCTTCCATTTCCTTCTCTGGTTCCCTGTGTGGTTCCTACTTATCTCTCTGGTTCCCTCTCTGGTTCCTACTTATCTTCCTGGTTCCCTCTTTGGTTCCAGCTGTGGTTGCTGGTTTGATGCCTTCTGTTGGTATAACCTTCATGTTGACGTCGTTCTAGGGTTCGGTCTGTCATCATCCTTCAAGATAAACCACAGGACAGAGAGAAGCTCCTGCTGAAGTTCCTTAAAGTCATGAAGGTAACCGATGAAGACCAGCAGGATCCAGAGCATCTCCTTCAGGTTTTAGCATCTTCTACCGTGTCCCAGACCATAATATGCCGTGTTCCTGCAGCACCTGAGGAAGCTGAATAACTTCAACTCCTACCTGTCCATACTGTCTGCCCTTGACTCCGCCCCCCTGAGACGTCTGGACTGGCAGAGAAGCACGTCTGAGGTGCTTCTGGATCTCCTGGTCTGACCTGCTCTTTGCTTTTGGTTTCATCTGTTCTCTGATGATGGTTTCCTGTTTCTTCAGAGTCTGGAGGAGTTCAGCTCCCTGATTGACAGCTCCTCATCTTTCAGAGCCTACAGAGCGGCGCTGGCTGAGGTGGAACCTCCCTGCATCCCCTATCTGTAGGTCCTAGCCCTCCTGAAGGTTGAAGGTCACCATGAACCCACTCCTAACCTCAGCTCTCCATCAAACATCTGTCCTGCGTTCAGGGGGCTGATCCTTCAGGACCTGACCTTCGTCCACCTGGGGAACCCGGACACCTGGACCAGCCCAGAAGGTCCAAAGGTCAACTTCTCCAAATGTTGGCAGCAGTTTAACATCCTGGACACTTTGAGGAGCTTCCAGCAGGTGTGAGTAGAACCTCTGAGTCTACAGGGTGACCTCCAGGGCCGCCTCTTGGGGCCTCAGGGGCCCATGGCCCCTTTCTGAGGGGGGCCTCAGGGGCCCACGGCCCCTTTCTGAGGGGGGCCTCAGGGGCCCATGGCCCCTTTCTGAGGGGGGCCTCAGGGGCCCACGGCCCCTTTCTGAGGGGGGCCTCCCATAGAA